GAGCAGGGGGAGGAAGAGGGAGGCGGGGACACAGTGGGCCGCGGGCCCGTGGGGAGGAGAGTGACGGGGGGGGGGAGGGACGGGCTCTGGGAGTGACGCATGGGCCTGAAATCGGCGACACATCGCGGACAGACCAGCGATGGGCCCCCGATGGCGGATCCGCACGCTCGTGGGCAGGAATGGGCCATCGGGCTGCTGTCGGCGATGGGTGGGCGATTGGGGGCCGATGCGTTTCCCTCCGAGCCCATTCCCCCAGCGATGCCCCGTGATTTTCGGGCCGATCCCGGCACCCCTGAAGCGCTCTCGGCGGGGCGCGGCCGCTGGAACGTAACCCGAAGCTGGGAAGCCGCCGAGGACCGACGAACACGCCCGAAAACCTCGAAGCTCGAACCTCGCACCCCAGACGCTGCCCCTGGCCCCGATCCAGCCACCCCCCCGCCCCCCGGGCGGGTCGATGCGTCCCCCCCCCCCGAGCCTATCTCCCCCTGACGTTGCCCCTGAGCCTCGCGGGGCCGTGTGGAGGACTATACCAAGCCGCCCGCAATTCGCGGCTGCGCCCAGGTGCGGTCATCCTCCGCGCCGCCCCCCTGAGAGGAGCGCCCCTCTGGGCCGGGCCACGGCGCGCGACAGCGCGGCTGCCTTCACTCCCCCCGCGGGTGACCTGCGCGAGGAGGGATGTGGACGAAGGCGTGCCAGGAGGAGGCGTGCGAGGGGGAGGCGTGCGCGGAGGAGGAGGAGAAGGAGGAGGAGGAGGAGGAGGAGAAGGTGGAGGAAGCGAGGAGGGAGGTCGTCCGAGGAGGAGGAGGAGGAGGACGCCACGTAGCTTACTGGCCAACGAAGAGCCCCACTCTACATTCAATTATTTGATTGTGGCCTTATCGGCCGAGATATGGAGGGACGCGTGCGGGAAGGGGTCGAGGGCACGGCCCCAGCACGTTCCTGGTTGGTCTGGCAGGCCAGCAATGCTGAGTGCCTCGCCTGTGTGGTAATGCTAGAAGTGCCGAACAGATGCGGATGGCATGCAAGCTCGGCTCTGAGTTTATGAAAGATATGGAAACTCAGCGCAGTAAGCTCATGAGCACGTTGTCTCGAGATCTCTGCGGCTCTGCACTCTGCTTCCGATCCGAGCCCTAGACGGACAATGGGATCAGAGGGGAGAAAGAAGCGGCCAGGGAGAGCGAGGAGGTGAAGCAAGCGAGGGCAAGCAAGGTAGTGGGCGAGAGAGTCGGGGGCGTGCTCACATCCAAAGCGGCAGGGCAGCGGGGTCAATGTGTGAACCCTTCGGGAGGTGATCCATGCACCCGCCAGAGTTTTGAGATGCGCCCAGACTAGCATGGGCGTTGACGAGCTTAGAACGAAGTTCAGCTTGTGCCAACGCACCCTCAGCTCGTCGGCCGAGGGGGGAGCAACAGGGTAGAGGGCAGACGAAAGGCGACGGTGGAGAAGGAGGTGGAGGTCGTCAGGGAAGAGGCGAGAGGTAAGGATGGCAATGAACTTCGATTGGAGGGCGATGCGGCGGCGGCGACAGCGCACAGCCTGTTCTCTCCGAATTTCGGCCTCAGCCGCCGCGATCGTCGCTCGCGGTATGCAATGTGCTGGGAGGCTCGCAGTCGCATGGCGCGGTCCTCGGCCGCTCCATCCTGCGAATTGCGGGGCAATGCTGTGCTGGATTCTCCAGCACGGGGCAGACCACTTACCTCGGATGGCAGAGACCAGTGGGAGCTCCTCTACCGCAACTTCTGCGTGACACTCCAGGATCCCCTCCCACTCACCCGCCAGCGTCGACGTCGCCATCCTCCATCCCGCAGCAGTCGTTGTGAGCAAGACAGAACGCGGTGCCCCTGATCGGAGTCAATTTCCTATGCTGAACAATTCACTGCGCTTGAAAGAGCTTGGTGGTATTCTAAGCATTTTGTGCAACGCCCATGTCTCCTTTCTAAGTACATGCATGGATATGGCAAAAAACTGGGCCAAGTAACTGAGGACACGCAAGCAGCGTGTGTGGTAGAGGACGATGGAGGCTGCTGTCGGAGCACGGCCACCCCCCGCCTCCCTCGCACGAACCCACCACTTCTGACCAGCAGCCTCCCATTCGTCTTCTAGAGACGCGCCAGGCCCTATCAATATGCCTAGATACTTAGTGGCTGACTCTATCGAAAACGAAGCCCATGCCGGAATTCTTCTATGCAGGAACGCTACTAGGGCCTGTCGAGTCGGATGGTCGGCGAGACTCCAGAGCGGGACCAGGCATCAATTTTTCGGTTGGAGGAGGAGACCAGCAAGGGCAGCAGCAGCGTCAAACGAGGGGAGAAGCGAAGGGAGAAGAGTGACCGATCGAAGTGCTGCCCCGACGTCGTCCGCACAAGCTCCCAGGTCTTCGCTTTTACCTCCCGCGGCCACGAGACCAGAGACTAGAGAGCGCACTATGGGGTCCATCCCTAAGGCCCAGAGGGTCCCCGAGAGAGGGCAGCCTTGCGGGGCCCCAGACCGCAGGGTGAATAGTTCTCTAATCTCAGATCCTACTCGCATGAATCCTACCGAGGCGTGCATGAGGGCTCGGATGGCTCGTCGATATATTGAGGGAACTTGGAAACGTCTCAAGACCTTGCCCAGCCAAATCTGGCTCATGCTCGGGGAAGCTGCTTTAATATCGAAGCTGACAAAAACTGGCTGACGGCGCGGGGCATCATCGCCTATGCTGGCAATGCGGCACAGAGAATCAAGCCTAACAATATGCCTGGCGAAATTTCGGCCGTTTACAAATCCTTGCTGCACTGTGTGAGTATGAGCTTCTGCTACATGCTGGAGTCTGCGATTGATGCATGTTGCCATTGCTTTGGCATCACAGTTCTCGAGACTCAAGGGGCGCAACTGTCCAGGCTGGCGGGCGCAGTCCACTGGGTCAAGCTCTGCTTCGCCTTTGGGAATGAAGGCGAACAGGCTATGATTGAGTGTGGCAGGAGGGGGGGAGCCATGAAAAAAGCGAGAGAAGGAGGGAGTGAAGAATGATGGCGAGCCTCGGGCGAGCACGCCACGCCTTATATGGGAGCCTATCGGGGCCAGGGGACGAGGACTTCCCCTTCGCCAGGGCCCAGCGGAGGTCAGAGAGAGCGGGGAGGGGGAGGTCCAGCACGTCAGGGGGGGGGAGGTGGGAATCTATAAAGGCATCCTGCTGGGGTGTGTCCTCAATCCGCTCTTGAAACACTGGCTCCCAATGGTTCCCGATGACATCTGAAATGTTTTGGCCCCCTCGGAGAACTACATCGCCATGGCCTTCCTGGGAGCGTTGGATCCCTTGGAGCACGAGCCTTCGTCCCTGGGGTTTCCACAGCAGGGCGCGGCGAAAGAGGGCCTGCTTGGCCCTGCCGAGAGAGGCCCGCGGATTGGTTTGTCGAGCCTCATCTCTACCTCTGTTTTGTTCTAAAAGTTGGTCGCTACGAGCCTCGCTGAGCGCGAGCACCTCCGCCTCGAAGCGCGCCGCGTCCCGCAGGGCCACGGAGGAGCCTTCCACCCGAAGGTGGACGGGGCCAGCAGCAGCGCGCTCCAGCAGCCGCGTCGCCAGCCGGCGGTCCTGACGCCATACAGCTCGAGCGATCGCTCGCATAGCCATGCACCTGGCCTCGATGTCGTTGCTGGAGTTGTCGCCGATGGGGGTCCGCATGACGGCGTTCCGCGCACCCTCCGCGGCCAGGATCATCTGCCGCTTGACGCACTCCCACTGCTCCGTGGGCGACAGCTGATCGATGTCGCATGCATCCAGGCAGGTGGCCAGCTGCTCCTTGTAGTCCTTTGTGCTGAAGATGAAGGAGGGGATGCTCTGGTTGTTCTTGTCGGTCTCCTTGCGCGGCTCAATCTTGAGTTCGATGATGGCGTGGTCGCTCACCTTCCAGAGAGCCAGCTCCTGTGCGTCATAGCGGATGTTTACTACGACCTGCATCTCTTTGGCGAAGTGTGGCGGGGTCGACAGAAAGATTCGATCAATCTATGTCATCTGGTTGGTGTGCTTGTCAAAGTGCGTGGGGACTGGGGTCACGACCTCGGTCATCTTGTCTGAGGAGTTGATGAGCTGTCGCCAGAAGGGTTCAGAATGGTTGGCACGTCCAGCATCAGAGTGTCGAAAAAGTTGCCCATGATCTCGTGGTGCTTCACGCGCTAGTGGGCGGAGTAGGCTCTCATTGGGATTGCCGCTGAAATCGAGGCCCCCCATCATCACAAAGAGGTTGCGGGAGGGGTTCGCGTGAGCCCACTTGCCATTTTCAATCCAGCATGCCCGAATCTGACACTTATCTTGCTGGCTGAGGTCATAGTTATGGACATTACATATGCGGACTTCCGTTTTCTGCACCAGGTTCTTGACTGTGAGGAGCTGGGCGCGACCTTTAGCCAAGACTCGATGGACCACCACTGGTAGCGCTTCAGGAGGGAGGCCGTCATCAGGAGGTATGGGAAGAAGGGTAGCAACTCCACCAGCTCCAGTCACTTCTGTGCCAGTGAAGTAGGCCCTGTAATTGTATGGAGAACGATTGATAAGATTCTGAAGAGTCATGCCATGACCATGTACTTCTTGCAATACGATGACAGCCTTCTGCTTCATGAATTCACATAGCTTCTGGAACTTAATGTTGCGTTTGCCTAGAGTACGACATCGGAGGCCTCGAGCATTCCACGATACAATTCGACACGGGCGGCTGTCGTCTGGGCGTAGCCATGGTATCCATCTCGGGCTAGGAAGACGACCATGATGACGTATCCACCGCACGGAAGAGCGCCTTGAACTGATTCGATATGGCCGTGGTGTTGAGCTGCAGGTCATTCTTTGCTGCAGGACTCCACGACAGCTGGGGCGGTTCATCAGGGCGCTGTGGTTTGACCTCGGCGATCGGTGTGGTGCCGAAGTGAATGATGCCAGCGCTGCGTTGCATCCACCAGTCACCAGGGAGAGTTTCTTTGCAGATAGACAGCAGCTTTTTTGTTTGCACTTCTTGACGTATGGCCCGAGGGTTCTTGTCAGGGTTGATGTAGAGCTTCTCGTCATTGCCTTCCACAGTACGGACAGAGAAGTCACGCCACCGTCCAGATTCACATCTGAGGTGTTTGGTGAGGTGAAGAGCACGCGCGCGGCCATCTGCAGCGCCTGGCACGTGGATGTGGAAGCGCTTGGAGGGCTCCTTCTCGTTGATGGTGATCTGTGCCTTCGTGGTCTTGGCCGCCTCCAGCCACTGGGACAAGCTGTCGAGGATGGCGGCTGGTGCACACGGCTTGTGGCAGTTGGCAACAAATAGCTGTGGGTCCGCGGGTCGGTCCCAGTCGGCGAGGCGCAGCATGTCAGGGGCGTCGCTGCGTCCCAAGGAGTCCACGTGGGCCAGTGTGGTCTGCAACTCGCGGATCTGGTCTGCCATCTGCTTGTTCGACTGCTCGAGGTGCGCGGAGGAGGCCTTGATCTTGGCGAGATCCTGCGTGTGCTCTTCGATCTTCTGCACGTGCGGCGCCAGCTGCCTCTCCAGCTCTTTGGTGATGTCCTGGAAGCTGTTGGCGACTGTGTTCTGCAGGGTCTTGGTGACATCTGCCATCTGGTTCTGAAGAGTGCGCTGGATGCGTAACTCGACTGTTTCCAGATCATGTCGGTTCCCTGCGGCGGCACTGGGCTGCGTCGCAGATGGACCCGATGTGGCACCAGTGGGAGGAGCTCGGGCAGCTCGCCAGGGATCACTCTCCACCATGGGATCTCTCTGTGCTTGCCTGGATGGACTGCGGGGCCCAGATCGGGATCGCCGTTGAGTCTGATCGCCCATGTTCGCACAGTCAGAAGCAGCAGGGCGGCGCGCCCGCCAAGAGCGGGCCGACTGACTGGAGGAATGGTGTCGAATGGTGGGGCAGAGCGCCCAAAACTTGTCAAGACCTGTGTGAGGGCGCCCAGCTCCCCCCGTGAAGGCTCGAAAAATCACAGTGGTCTAGCCGCGGACCAGCGGTATCCATGCAGCCGCAGGGCGACATGGGTACCTTGAGCCAAAATGGCTACGGAAGAGGAGGAGGAGGAGGAGGAGGAGGAGGAGGAGGAGGAGGAGGAGGAGGAGGAGGAGGAGGAGGAGGAGGAGGAGGAGTCGGGGGAGGACTGTTGACATGCACATCCGCTGCAGAGCGAATCACAAAGTAGTCAGCGGGGGGGCCAGGGCTGGACCTGACCAGCCGTGGACCCCCTGGCCGCGAGGAGGAGCACATGTAGCGCCGAAGACACCATGAGGCAAAACACCTCCCCGATTTCCGCGGCAAGGCTTGCGAAGGGAAAGACCGCCACGGCCCGCCTGCGTGCTCCCGAGCACCATCCGGGCCCGTTCACGCACGCCGACGAAACCCGACGTCAGCCAGCAAGAGATCACCCCGCTAGCGCACGTCGAGGCCAGCACCCGAGCCCGAGCGAAGAGGCGATGCCTCCGCACCGCCAGCCGCAACCGCCCCCGAGGCCGCGGGGAGAACAGCAGGCGCCGCCAGGGCCGACCTCGCCGCGAGCCTCAGCTGCCGCCGCCGCCCCACGGGCACGCAGGGCCATGCCTCGGCGCCGACGGCGACTTCGCCACCCAGCGTGTCCGCCCAGACGTCGTCCAGCTCGTCGTCGACCTCGGCCCCCAAGGCCGCAGCTCCCCCGCCACCAGCGTCGCCACCGCCGCGAGCCGCCTTGCGCGCCTCCGCCGCTCCGCCAGGGCCGCCGCGGCAGCCTGGCAGCGCGAGGGGGCGAGAGCTTTCGGCCGCAGCAGCACAGTCACCAGCAGGCTGCGCTGGCCGCTCGGCGATCGCCCACAGCGATGCCGATACGGCCGATCGCGCCACAGCAGCGACAGTGCGCCGCGGCGCTCCAGCGAAGACTGCGCCGCGGACAACCGCCTCCACCAAGGAGGCTGCGTAGGGCGCAGTCGAAGTTCCTCAAGCCGCGCCATCCCGCCCGCGGAAAAGAAGGAGAACGAGGCCGTGAAGGCGACCCCCGGCGCCCGAACGAGACCACCTCCAACGCGCGAGCGACGTCCACGCCCTCCCACCCGCGGCTGGTTGGCAGCACTCGCTACCTATACGACCGCACTGCGGGCGATAAGGAGGTTGGGGGGGGGGATTGAAATCAAATGCCCACCCTGACTGACCTCCAGCCTTGGATTGGATGGGATAGTATGGATTGGATAAGATAAGATGGGTTAGATTGGAAGACGTGTATTGGATAAGATAAGATGGGTTGGATTGGCCCGCCGCAAGCGCAGAAACAAATGAATTGATGGATTGGGTTGGGTGGATTGGATTGGGTGGGATAAGATAAGAGGGGACAATATGGGTTTGATACGATGAGATGGATTGGATTGGACAAGATGGATTGGATACTATAAGCTGGATTTGATAAACAAGCCCGCCGCTGGCGCCGACAAAAATGAATTGATGGATTGGGTTGGGTGGGTTGGATTGGATGGGATAGTATGGATTGGATAAGATAAGATGGGTTGGATTGGAAGACGTGTATAG